AGGTCGAACTTAATTTGTTACAGAAAGTAACGAAGGACGACGAAGAGGAAACTGAGATAACTAACGAAGATGGAGATCTGGTAGGCAAAAATTCAGAGATGCAGGTTTTGGAAAAGAAAAAGAAAAAGAGAGGAAATTTAAATGATTTGAAGGATAGACCTCAATTTAAGAGAAAGAAAACAAAGGTATTTTTCCATGATAACATTTTCTCTCTTTATTGTAGACTTAGTTTTGTGCTTCATTTTTTGCATTATTACTAACTTGTAATTTTGATGTTTTGGTCTTATCTTGAACTTTCTATATTAAAATGCCTTCCAAGGAATAGTCTGTAGTTCTTATATTATTTTTTAGGGAAGTGCATTGGACCCTAGTCTGTTTTCTGAAGGAATTTCACAGAAGAATTTTCGTTTGACTATGAATGCATGTTTTGAGGATGAGTTTACTGATTTTCATTCTTTTTTAGGGACTTTTTTGCTTATTGGCTCTTGGTGGGTTCATAGTTATAAATAATTTGTTGTATTGACCTAATTGCGTTTATATTCTGCAATTGGTTGATTGATTGATTTATTATTATTATTATTATTTTTATTATTTTGCAATTGCGTCCTTTGAGAGGGTATTCTCTCTTCACCTGCCCCTAAGTTGTTGTATTTCCGCTGATTTTGCCCAATACATTTTATGTTGATTGTATATAAAAAGCAACTCCTCTGACTCTTAATTCATTCCAACACTTGCAGATGATATGAAAGTAATTTAAGATACAAAGCCAAGATTTTTTTTTTCATTACATTAATGAAAACTTAAAAGTAGGATAAGGTTGTGTTGGGTTGTAACCCTATTTTCGGGTTCCCAAACAAAAAAAATGTCAACCTGCAAATTGACTCAAAGTTTTGGTTTTCTAAAAACTCAACCCAACCCAACCCAAATCAGAAAAAAAAAATATGATCTAACCCAACTTTTAAGGTTTGGGTTGAGTAGTCTGGGTTGGTTGGGTTCTTGGGTCATATGAATACCCCTACAATGAAGCACTGCTATTTATTATTTATGGTGTCATTCTTTTTTTTTTCCTTCTTTTTCTACCTAACAGTATTCAGGGTACCATTCTGTTGCTGCTCTTAGTTTTTATATGATGATTATATTGATCGGTCAGACCAAGTTTCTTAATCACTTTCATTTTCTATTCTCTCCACAAAACATTGCAGGGTCCAAACCCTCTTTCGTGTCTGAAGAAGAAGAAAAAGGTCGATCCAAACCAACATCCAGTTTCAGAGAAGGTAGTTTGCATCTTCTATAATTTCAAATTATGGTTGCATGATTGCATTGCATTTCATTCGGTTTTTTGTATTATTATTATTTGATAGGATTCACTAATTCATTGAATGAAATGAAAACCAATGGAAAACAAATGGGAGATAAGATGCTATTCGATTGGGCGAAGGAAGCTAAGAATTGGGAACCGAAGTCGTAACTGAAATTTGTTGAGTTATATTATTTTCTTACTTATGTCTGTCCTTAAACAAGTATAGTATGAATAATACCATTTATAGTCCTTAAGCTTAGAAAAAAAACCATTTTTCGATTTAATACCCACCCAATACTTATTACAAGCAAAAGAAACTCAAGAAATAAAATTCCAGTCTAAACCAAAAAGAAAAAAGAAAAAAACGGTAAGAATCAAAGTGATTACTTCTTGAAGTTTAGGAACTATAATTTACATTTTGAAGCTTAAAGACAAAAAGAAAGAAAAAAAAAGGAAGTTCAAAGGCAAAATGATCACTTCGTAAGCTTAGGGATTAAAATAGAAGAAGTTTGAAAGTGTAGAGATTAGTCTGAAATATTCTTGAAAATTCATGTCCCAATCCAAGGAAATCCTCTTCAAGTACGCTTTTCTTTTGTTTTTTCATCATGAGATAGCATGAAAACAAACTGGTACTTTTTCTTTAATTACATCTTACGTCCCAACCACAATATAATTATCTTATATGCATTTTATTTCAACGTTTTGTCTTAATACCTATTTGTGCTCCTGGGTCATGATTGAATTTTCTATCTTATGCTGCAGAAGGCTGATGATAATACTACTAAAAGGACTCGCAAACGAAAACGGGCACGAAAGACCAAAACAACTGCTGAGACGGGCACGCCATAGTTTGTAGTCATCTGATGTGGCTTTGGTAATTTTTTGGTGCTTTGTGGTAAATGGTAGAATGATTTGGTTTTAACGTTTAGAATGCATCCCTAGCAAGAGGATTAGAAGTCTGAAATTAGATGGGAGTTATGGGTGTTCCCTCACGAAGGTGTAGCTTCCATAGATAAGGAAATTGTATTATGATAATACCCGTTGCCAACCTAAGCTATAGAGATACAATTTTTTGTTTTCACATGTAGTTGATACTGGTCAATATTTTTCTGTTCTTGCAAAAGGAAATTGATTCTTTGAACCTCAACGAGACCAGCTGAAAGCGAAAATGGATTGTTTCACCTTGTAAGGCGATTTCTACGCTTTTTTTTTTGCTATTTATTTGAGTAGGGGTGTGTTTAAGCTAGACAGGTTTTAGGGGCTTTTGCTCCTTTGGGTGAACTTAGATTTAGATTTAGATGTGGCTTTAGTCGTTGATGAACAAATTTATTTGTCCATGTGTTTTGGTAAAAGAATCTATCAGTATTTGCTATTGCAGTTGTATATGTTGATTGAAACTCCTGAAGACATCTCGTAAAGCATAATTTTGTTCGCTCGCTTGTAGAGACAATTTTATTGTGGTTTGAAATTTATGAAAGGGAGGTGTTATTTATGATCCTTCTAAAAGACCTTTTCGACCTTTTCGATTTAGTGTTGAGGGAGAGGTTATGACTATATGAATTAGGAGTATTAGATAATTTACCCCAAGACTTGTTCGTAGTTGAGCTTTTGCATTTTGCTTTCTTAAAGTGATTGTCTTTTAATTTTCTAGTTATCTTCCTCGAAAATGTGAGATGTCATTCAAAATTAAAGTTATCGATAATGATAAGATAAGGAACCACTACAAAGAGAGTAAGATTCGGATTACCTTATTGATCGAATTTATTGATCGAATAAGATTCAGATTACCTTGTTGATCGAATATCGCAAGAACATTATTTGAGATTCGAATCACTCCATAAGCAAGATCGATTATATCTAGCTTGAATGATTCTTGTTGATCAAATATCTATTTGAATCACTCCCACAAGCAAGATTGATCATGTCGAGCTTGAATGATTCTAGCAATTTAAACTAAAGAAATGAAACTTAGCTAAAGAAAAGTTGCAAAGAAACATAGTTATGGCTAAAGAAAAGCACAAATGATTCTTTTATTATATTTTCCAGAAACTTAGTCATTTGCTAAAGAAAAGCACAAAGTCTTTTATTACATTTTCCAAAAACTTGGCCATTAGCTAAAGAAAAGCACAAATGGTTCTTTTACTACATTTGCAAAGAAACTTCGTCATTGGCAGAAGAAAAGCACAAATACTCTTTTATTAAAGAAAAGTTGGCTGAAGATGGTTCTTTTACTACATTTGCAAAGAAACTTCGTCATTGGCAGAAGAAAAGCACAAATACTCTTTTATTAAAGAAAAGTTGGCTGAAGAAAAGCACAAATGCTCTTTTATTAAAGAAAAGTTGCAAAGTTAAATAAAAGCACAAATGATTCTTTTATTACATTTTCCAGAAACTTAGTCATTAAGCACAAATGCTATTTTATTACATTTTCCAGAAATTTAGCTATCGGCTAAAAGAAGCTTCTTTTACTACATTTGCAAAGAACCTCAACCATTGGCTGAATAAAAACACAAATGCTTCTTTTACTACATTTTCCAGAAACTTAGCCATTGGCTAAAGAAAAACACAAATGTTCTTTTACTACCTCTTCCATGCTTACCAATACCAGCCTCAAAATGAAACTATTAAAGACATTTCAAGAATGGTAACATTATACTTAATGGATAATTAGCTATTATGTAATCATACTTCATGGCCATAATTTGTAACATTATACTTAATGGATAATTAGCCATTATGTAATTATACTTCATGGCCATAATTAGCCATGATGTAATTTTAACCTAAAGTAAATAAAAAGTCTTAAAATATAATAACTCTAAATTACTCTAAATTATAACCGACCCAAAAGACCCAAAAGTTATAACAATCAAACTTCATTTTTCTTCAGTGTGACATAAATCTAAATTATTCTAAATTGTAACCCATCCAAAATTTATAACAATCAAACTTCATTCTTCTTCAATGTGGCATAAATTGAAACATCTTTTGATAATTTTGACAACATTTTCTTCACATTTTCATTGAAGTATATTTATAACAATCAAACTTCATTCTTCTTCAATGTGACATAAATTGAAACATCTTTTAATAATTTTGACATCTTCACATCTTCATTGAAGTATATTATATGATTGATGTCTTTTGGTTCATATCACATAATTTCCTTTCTTCAATTTTCTTGCTATAAGAACTTAAAAAAATACGAATATATTTATATATTAAAAAATCATTCTTTTCTAAGAATTTTTTAGAACATTATTTCTTGAGAATTTTTTAAAGTATTCTTTTTTGGATAATTTTCATCTTTTAATTTTCAATATAATTTATATTATAAAAGGTAAAACATCTTAATAAATCCAACACAAGAGAGGATATTTAAGTGGAAACGGAGAAAGATAATATAATCCCCATCACCAACAATATTTTGCTAACCGAGAAAAACCTCTCCCTCGCCCATATTTCTTGTTTAAATGACGATTCTCTGTAACATTCGAGCTAGTAAGTTGAATGAACATGCCATAGAATGTTTTTAAATTCAATTTAAATAAAAAAGTATATCAATAACGATATCTCTCAGATCTCGATGCCTTGCTCGCATTTCAATATCAATACATGTTGCCAACCTCTAAACAATGTTTGAATTCTCTCCTCATTTGTAAATGTTAAGCAAACCATAACTCAGCAGAGCAGCAATCAGTGTCCTCAGAAAAATAATCAACAACTTAATAAACCATAGATAAAAAGCAAACAATCAGGAGAATCATCCCTTTTAAGCATTGGCCTCATAAATGGCTTTGTAGCCTCAAAAATTATTGAAATCACCTTTCTAAGCAACAGAACAGAGAGAAGAACTAAGAATAAATGAACAAGCTACAAAAATTTACCTTACCAGGAACAATCATTTTGACCTGGATCTTTCCGTCACTTCAAAATTTCTTCTTCCTTCCAGCTGCTCATCTAACATCTAAATATGTACATGGTGTTGGGTTGCTTCTCTTCTTGTATGAATTGGGTATTATATATAACAGTCTACCATCTTGTATTACACAAAACCAGCTCTCGTTGAAACATCCACAATGTTTTCTTTTTCGTCCCTTATAGGGAAACTAAATGGCCACAGATTTCTCCTCATTGATTCCATGATCTCAAGTATGGTTTCTCCATTGGATCAGTCAAATTGGATTTCTGATGCCTCATGCCTGCCAAGCTTATACCCTGGGATGGTATTTCATGCCCTCCCAAGTAGTCGAGTGAGTTTGATACTTTTGGTAGAACGTTACCGATCATGGGATTTCCTTCGTGCAACATTCCATGGTTCCTTGGGGAAATGAATTGCCCGTTCGAGCCCATTGAATGAAAAGGGGAACAGAATTGACTACCTTGAGATAGAACACTGAATAAGATTTGATCTGTGCTGCTGTTTCCACTGCCAATATTCTGATTTGGGACTATGACGCCATCTGACCCTGTAAACCCTCCACGGACTTGATGCTCTCCCGGAAACCAATTATCGCCTAATAAACTTCCAGCATTCATAGTATGAGAATGGATATGAGCAGACATGGGAACCGAGTTCACCGTCCAGTCCTGCATTACAGACGAGGGTAACTGTTGCTGTGTTGGGATTATATACCTGTTGCCTTCAGGATACATGTTTTCAGGAACACCATGTTGCATGTAAACTTGCTTGTCTTCCTTTCTTCCTTGCTGCAAAGGCACGGATAAATCTGGTTGCTCCTGGAAATGTCTAGAATATCGATTCTCTTCTATCAAGTCATGGTTCGATGGCTGGAAATCTAAACCCGAGTGCCTCTCCTCACTATGGAAGGACAGAGGAGCTGCCTGTCCGTTAAACACGGAATGAAGTAACTCATCCTTACCTTGATTTTCATAACTAAGGGTGTCATTGTCAGAATGTCTATGTAACATATGTTTTCCAATATCTTTACCTTGGTTTCCATAAGAACAAAAGGTGCTATCGTCTGATTGGCTATGTAACAAAATATTTCCAATATCTCGGCCATGCGAATCACGTTCCACAAAAGTGTCATTATCCGATTGTCTGGCCAACAAAATTTTCCCAACATCCAGACTATGTAAGCCAGATTTCACAGAAGAGCCGTCATCTGATTGTCTTGGCAACAAACTTTTAGCAATACCTCTGGCAGGCATGTCAGGTTCAACATTGAAAACGATTGTTTTTCGCTCTTCATCAGCATGAGAATTTGCAAGAGACAAAACACTAATAGATGTTGCATAATCATGGCTGGTAGCAGAGCTGTGGTAATTCTTTGGCATGCTTGGTTCGGGGCGAACATCACCAATAGAATGTAGGGCCTCCTCTCCCTGACTGGCTGAGCATTCTATAGCATTCCTGTTTCTTGATATTCCAGATTCTTCAAGATGAGCATCACCAGAATTTGGGGTGTCGTGGTTTTCGGAATCAGAATTGCTGTAGGTCTCCAGCCCACCATTGACCTGCTTTGAGGATTGACTACTTTGGGAACCAGAAATTGATTTTTCAATAGATTCATTCCCTGTTTCTTCCCTATCCATTTGATCTGTTCCTTCAGTATCCATTTGGTCTCGAAGCATGCTATCATGGCTTTCAGTGTCCACATCCTAGCAAAACGAGTACAGGTATATGAACTAGCAAGACTGCATACAACGATGACCAAACACTTCAACAAAGAGAGGAAAATAAACGAGAGAGAAGAAAGAAGCAGAATTGTTAAGCACCATCAGCAATTTTTGCCTGTCTTTCAGATCTTTCTCCAAGGCCTTGGTTACTTTCCGTCTCTGTAAACGAGTCTCCCTCCAATTTGCATATGCAACTGGGAGATGAACTTTTGATAATTGCACCCTATGCAAAGAAAGAAACTATTACATGAGGGAGACAGAATGAAACATTCAATTTGGTATAAAAATAAATACGTTACTTCACATATGCTCTCACCAGTGCTCATGCAACTTCTTTCGTTCTTCCTCTACAAATACTTCATATGGTTGTACATTAAAAGCTTTCATGTCACCTAAAACTTGGTCAAGCGATCCAGATTGCTTCATGTTCTTCACGAGGTCAAGCTGTTTCTTGCTAATCTGAAGTGTGTGAACAAGAAATTGACATCAAATCACGCCCAAGTACCAAAACTTGTCTCTCTTATCAAAAGGAGAAAAATTCACAAAAAGAAAATAACCAGATTTTCATGAAGTCTGTTAAACCATAACTTGTAATCATCAACATAACAGATATGTGTTATAACTATGTTTTGGGCACTTTAATAAATGTTTTGGGCATTTATAAAAGTCCAACGTCCTATAGACTTTATTTCCCTCTTAATGTTTTGGGCATTTTAATATTTTTTATGAGAAACGAAGCTTTGAATTAATGAAAGAAAATAAAAAACTAACACATATAAATGGAGAATAATTACAGAACTCCTAAGACAAAAGCTCCAAGGAGAGAAACCCAAACATAGTATTATCCCAAAACTCCCAATGATATTATTCTATTCATTTCAAGCAAAATGAAAGAAATAAAAAAGCACCTAACCTTGAAATATGACATATATTTGGAACCATCACTACACTGGATGTTGCGCTTTTGTAGCTTGACCTCAGGTCTAGTTTCCACATTAAGCATGTCATCTATAGGAGTTGATGAAGTTCTGCATCTTTTTTGCTTGTATTCTCGACTGCACAACCTGTTTTTAGACCAGAATAGTGCACATCCTGTTAATCATAAAAACTAATAAATAGTCAACAGAACACACATCCTGTTGATCATAAAAACTAATAAACAGTCAACAGAACATCGTGATACTACCTATTCATAATTTATAGCAGAAAAACGTCGTGATACCTTGAAGAAACTATCCCTAACTAAAAGGAACGATGGATAAACCAGACAAGCGTCCACTAATCTCGTTAGAAGAAATATGGGCACCAATTATATAAGGAACCACAAACAGATTCATTCGGAAGTAGCTATTTTAGTGACAATATTCCTTCAGAATTCATAAACACCAGCCTATATAAAGCACGGATCAATATGCCTCATGCATATTCCAGAATGCCAAGCTAAATTACCGTTCGGAAAGTACTCTACCCTTCATGAATGAAGTCTGGTTATCACTGCTACATACTTTCTCCTCTGCAGCCCATGAACCAGACTCTGGTGTAGCTATCGCATTATCCTTGTGATAGTCAAATCTGGACTCATTCACTTGGGTGGAGACTCTCCTTTCTGCATTTCTTGACCTGCTTAAAGTGCATTTTGAATTCTGAATTTATTTCGTTTTCTTTCCTGATCAAATAACCCCCCCCCCCCCCCCCCCCCCCAAAAAAAAAAAAAAAAAAACCAAAAAAGGAAAACCAAAAAGACAGTTGAAGCTGTAATTTAACAAAAAAGAGTGATAAATCTTATGAAAGCACTCAGAAATACTTAGACAAATATCTTGATCCACTTCCCGAATATATCTGACAAATGTCTTGCATTTTTTTCGTTTGACAGGAAATACTTTGGCATTCTGTTTAAATGGACACAATTGGCAGGCAGGGTCCGAATTAAAATATTTACTAATTAACTTCTTTCCATTCCAAGATTTATTATTGAATGCTAACCTTGACCATCAATCAAAAAATCAAGAAATGTGCGGAAGACTGAAATGAAATCAACAGTATGTTTTAAAAATTGGTCATTTATAAGCAATAACCACTAAAGGGTAATGCAATTGAATTAATCGGGAAAACGATTAAAGCGATGAAGCAATTATATATGCCACCTACCAGCTTTTAATATCCTTCATTACAACAATAAGCAGAATATTATCCAAGCTGATGTTCAAACTCTATAAGTTCAAAAGGTCCAAAATTATGAGTTTGAAAGAAGAAAAAAGAAAAGGTAACCTCCATGTTGGATGTATGATTTCCTTCTCTGGATCTTTGCAGTTTGCACATCGATCCTTCAGTTTCTGCAGATATTCAATCATACTGCCACAAGTAGGAGCTAGTATTAGCAACAACATGCTTCAGTTTATAGTAAACACCATTGAAAGGCGTACAGAAAATAGAGATATTTCAATAGTTAAGAATAAATTGTTGAAATCATAGTGATATTTCAAATAGTTAAGAATACAGTGCTGAAATCATAAAGTTAAAATGGCAATTTTACAGATTGAACATTCAGTACACTTCTTACTTGTTATGATACTTCTGTAACTCATAGGAATACGATTTTTTAGCTGCCATTAAACACTGTTCATTTTGAAGAACTGCATCGGGGTGCAGTGCACCAGAGCAAAGTGAAGACTCCCTGCAAGTACATATTCTGATAAACAACAGTTACTTCATAGCCATCAAGATCCCTCCAATTAAAGCTGTTGTCCATTTGTGCATTAGGCTGTCCCAGCCCAGTTGATGGTTTTTTTTTCTTTTTCTAATGGAAGTGTTTGCTTGTTATTTATAAAATAAAAAAGAAGAAGAAGAAAGAAAGAAAAACTTGCCATTTAACAAGGGAATTTCCAAAGTGAAAATTATCCCCAGAAAACAATGCTTCCATCACATCGGTTTCATTTTCTTGTTCTTCAGGAAGAAACCTCCTCAGATCGTTTCTCTCATTTTCTGAAAGATATGTCTGCCAAACCTGTAATAAATTCAAGGCCAAATGAATAAAAAGAAATACAGAAGGGAAAGCGATACTTCGATACAAATAACAAGGCCTAACCGCAAAAATATTGCTACCTCAAGTGAAAGGACTTCTGATAAATTTTTCAACTCAAAAATCTCACGAGGAACATCAAAAGCGTCAGCTAAGATACTGTGTTTATTGGAAACTGAATCGACAAATGGTCTTAATTTTCTCCAACTTAGGCCAACTTGTTCCCTTTTAGAAACAACTCTTCTTTTACTCCCATCCCATACCAGAGTAATATGGGATCTTAAGTTTGCATCACTGTGCGGCAATGCAGAATTCTTTTTTCTAACTCTATATGAATCCCTCGTACTGTAACCGACTACACTGGCAGAACTCAATCTTTTTCTCCGTTGATTGGCCGCCATTAATCAAGTATCAGAACAAGTTGCAGTAAGACACATACTAGCACATAGATAGTGCAGCTACAACTTTAATGAGAGGCCTGAAAAATGAATCAACTAGTGAACCTTTCAATACTGTAAAATCATCAAGCCTAAGTTAATTTCAGGGATGTGGCTTCAAAATCCTTCCCAAGATCAAACTATTCTTTAACTAGTAACTGGCATAATATCCCATGTCATAGAGAGAACATATTACAGCCATATACAATCTTAAGTAGAGAAACATAAACTCAACTGAAAACATTTTTTAAAATGTCGTTTATTGATCAAATGTAACATCCAATTTCAGGCAGCCAATTAGCCCTCTTAATTTTCAATTTTATTTCACAAGATTAAAAATCAATAGCATACCATATTTTCAAAATATCAAAAAAGAAAAATGATATATCTTTTATTCTCATCGTAGCACATGTCAATCAAAATGGTTATATTACAAACAAGCATTGAATTCATACCAAGTACAGAAAACCTCACTTGAACAATCATGGGGAAAAACTTCAAAATCATACTGAAATTTCGAAAGAAAAAACATGGATTTAACAGTTCCGAAGAACAAAAAATAAACTCCTCAACCTCCATTGACAAACAATACACAAACCATCAATCAATATTCCTAATAACAACAATACATAAACACCACCAATCAAACCCATCAAAAAAATAACCTAGCAAATTACAAACCAAAAGCCTTCTTCCTCCTCTTCATAAAAAAAAAAAAAAAAAAAAAAAAAAAAAAAAAAAAAAAAAAAAAAAAAAAAAAAAAAAAAACAACAACAAAGCCTCATCCTACAACCAAAAACAAATTCCACGCCAATAGAAAAGCAAAGAGGTCGCATTACGAGTCAGAGCAATGCAACTGGAGGAAAAACAAGAAAAAGAAACGCTCACTAGAATTAAAAGAAAAAAACCCCACAGTCGGAGCAACAGAAAGAAACATAAAGATTGAGAAAACCTTGAATATTCTCAAACGAAGCTCCTATCGCCGCAAAAACATGGAAAAGTGCAAGAAACGGCAGTGAAGAATGGGTGAGAATTCTGAAACAAAACAATAGGAAAGTGTAATCGATGAAAAGAAGAAGTAAAGCGGAAGCGTGAATGAGTGAGAGATAGGGTTTTGGGTTATCCAGAATATTGCGGAGGCTGAAGTTCGAGAGATAGAGAGAGGCACTGAAACAGAGACCCAATGGCCATTGAAAGAAGAGAGAGATGCAGACGTTGTTCGGAACCGTTAAACTCGTGTGTATTTTACCTTTGCGGCTCGGCTCGGCTCGGCTCGGCTCACTAATAATTTTTTGAATTAAATTCAATTTTCGATTTAAGTTGACATTTTTATTCACATCCGGAATAGTTTACCATTCAATCCTTCCTTTTTAAGATTATTATAAATATTATAAATATTAAAAAATATTTAATATTTATAATCAATATTAATCATTATAAGTGAATGTTTGATATCCAATAGATAAGTAAAACATTTTTTAATAATTAATTAAAAATGTTACCGACAACTTAACCTAACCTCTTAAAAAGGATGGGTTGAGTTGGTTGGACTATAAACTCTATTAGAGTTGCTCCCGTTAAACTACAAACTAATTCAATATAATTTTATTTTTATTTTTTATTTTTGCTATTTTTTATATTGATAGTTATAATAATTTCAATATTTTAAAGAAATTATGACCTAGCCAATAAAATAAATGTGGGTTTTTTGGATTTTAAATTTTTTTTTTATTTGTATAGGAATAATATGTTTATTGTTCCTTTTATTTATTGATTAAATTCATTTTGATTTTTTTCCCTAATAGATTATTATAAATATTAAATTCAATTTTTTTTTCTCTAGTAGATATATTTTTAATATTTTTCTTAATAATTCTACCTGAATTTCCTCTCACTCCAACATTTTTTCTCATTTAATTTTTTTTTTTTTTTTCACTCTAAAAATTCTCTCTTTCAACTTTCCTTTTTTTATTTTTCTAACTAATAATTTCTCTCTAGCTTTATTTTATTTTATTTTCTCTCAAAAACATCTTTTCATATCTTTAATTTTTAATAAATTGAAAACACAAATAGCTATAATACCAGTTTGGTTAAAAACAAAAACAAAAAATAGTTTTTCAATATATATATGGGCTTTGTTTTTACAAAAAAAAAAAAAAAAAAAAAACATATATACATAACGCATGAAACGGTACATTTTAGTTTCACAAAACCAAGATATTGATATCACATATTTGCAAACAGCTTCAAGCAAATGTACGTTTTTATTTTTTTTTACAGACAAGCCAAATATGTCTCGTCTTTCTTTTGATATTCCCAGAATAATAAAAACAATTTTTAGAACTTGATATGGAAAAACACAAAATTGACTATTTCGAATAATACACAGGTAAAGCCAAGCCAAGGAAAATGAAACAAAAGTGGTGATGATAAGAAGAGCCAAGAAAGGAAGAGAAACAAACTATGTATAGAATGTATAGAAAGAGCAGAAAGGAAGAGAAACAAACATGTATAGAATGTATAGAAAGAGCAGAAACCTGGGATGTAGTGCCTACAAACGCATTTTTTAGTAATGATTTTTTTTTTCTTTGTCCTGTTTACCATATAGTTGAAGGAATCCTCAATGAGTTACATCAATTGCTAAAGTTCAAAAACTCAATCAATCAATCAATCCAGATGAGATGCAACCAAATGTTCGAATCCATCCACCCCACATGTTATCAGAACTCGAAAGTAAAATTTAAAATTAAATCTGCTCAACTAATCAATCCAAACACCCCGGAAGAAAATTTTGTAGACTTGTATAGCAATAATGGTAGATGCAAATCATACAAAGAAATTTTAGTTTCCATTTCACTATCAAGTCTATTCCCAAAATCAGAAGAGCTTACTTCATAGGGAAACACCCCATTCAAGCAAAGCAACTTATTCAGATGCATTCATGCACCACCAATAGACGGGAGTTACAGTTTTCTCACAACATAAACATCAAATCAGAATTGAGTAGAAAAATAATAAAATGCCTGCAACAAATCTTCAAGACATTATCATAGATGAATGTTCCAAACCACTACTACAAACCCAGAAAAAGAGCTTGATTTCTTAACCAATCAAAAGCTTGTTTTCATCCAAAAAGGTATAGGTGGGTACCTCCAAATTGTATGGCGCTGGTCCTTTACGGATCCTACCGGAGATGTCGTAATGGGAACCATGGCACGGGCAAAACCACCCACCAAAATCACCGGCATTTGGCAAGGGAATGCAACCAAGATGTGTGCAAACACCAATAACGATAAGCCATTCTGGATCCTTGACTCTCTCGCCATCCTGCTGTGGGTCACGAAGAGATCCAATGTCGACGCTATTTGCTATCTTAATATCATCTTCAGTTCGTCGCCTGATAAAGACTGGTTTTCCACGCCACTTAACCGTCACAGTAGAACCAGGCTCAATGCTTGAGAGGTCAACCTCAAGTGAGGCCAGGGCAAGAACATCCTTACTGGCTGACATGCTAAGAACAAACTTGAGAACAAGGAGGCGAATCAAAGAAGCATAGACAAACCGACCGCCTGACAAGACAAAATAAGCAAATGCACGCTTGCTGGGGTCACCCGGAGGAAATCGCTCATGATTGTATTCATCATACACTATCTTTGAAGTAGGATTCTTAACGGCTGCAACAGTTGCAGGAACATCTGGAACTAAGTTGTTTTCGCCCATTGAAGTCAAGGCATCAGAAGCGAAACCTGGAAAAGAGTTATTCTATTCAATCATAAAACTTCACTACAGGAGAAAGAAAGAATCATTCATAACAAAAAACCTGAATCACAAAATACGATTGAAATGCAGTCATCCAATCAATTGCATTGGGCAGAATGTTCAACATCTAAACCTACTAATTGTTAAAGTCAGAGTCCAAACCATTCAGTTTTGAAGCCCTTTTTCATTTAATTAGTACCAAACAAACACAATACCAAATAATAACATGCTAGTACACGTTCTCCAGGGGAAGTTATAAGTGGGCCTCAAACTGTTTCCAGAGAGTGCTAAAAAATTTCTGGCCAACATTTCTATTGATGACTTACATACAAGATTAGGAAATAAAACTCTAAACAGTCGCATAAAGGTTTGAGGAAGGTTTTAATCAGTATCCTATTCTAGAGAAGGGTAGAAAAGGTTAAAGGCTCGATGATTTCAGCTTTGATAACAATCAATAGCAAGGTTCTCAGCCATGATGGTTCCATTGGCTTTTGATCTTGAAAATTAAGATTTGATCACAAGAGATTTGGATTATATACTAATCAGCTTGGAACTAGCTTGTATGAAACCATTGCCAAGGTGTAGGATGATAGGCTGAGGATGGTTCTTCCTAGCAATATTTTGCACCTACAAGACACCTACGAGGTTCTTATGGCCTGATAAGAGCCTATTAGAATTGGCACTAGCAACCATGGGAACACAACTTCATAGACCTCTATAACACAAACCAAAAGACCACAATAAGCCCATGATCACATCATGACTAATGAGCTAATATAGAATTTCGACGCCCAAAGCCAATGCATGTCAGAAAGAATCATATCTAGAACTCTTCCCAAGCCTCAACCAAGTAATACAAACTCCTATTTCTATGACTGATTTCATTCCTTCTTTTTAATAACTATAAATTCTTCTCCTGGTTTATGTAACTCGACCTCCCCCAACAAAGTCTCAAATGTCTGTCAAGAGAGAAGGGCAATGGCATACCTTGAGTCACCTGCTCTTGCTGGTTTTGACTTTCATTTATTTTCTTTCTGTCTTTTTAATTGTATGGTCCATAAGGGTGTGGACTAGGGAAATGCCCGATCTTAGGTGTTTATAACAAATGCTTCTTTTTTAGGTGCCTAAATTCTCAAAATCTTGGCCCTTTAGTAAATGTTATTTCAAGTAGCTAGATTCCTTTGAACAAGCTCCTAAATGAACCTTTTTTTTTTTTATTACTAATATTTTAGTACCATCGTAACTCCTTAGGTATCAATAAAAAGTTGTTTCTCATCTCAAAAAAAAAAAAAAAAAAA